GGAGGAGGAGGAGGAGGAGGAGGAGGAGGAGGAGGAGGAGGAGGAGGAGGAGGAGGTCTCGTGCTGGACTTTCTTTCAATGACGGGCCTGGGGGCCAGCACAGCTCGATTTGCAAGGGCGCCCTCGAGGGCGCGGAGTTTTTCGCGCTTCGCGCCCCGCGGTTCGGCTCCGATTCCTCCTTCTCCGCCTCTTCTCCCCTGGGAGGCGGCGCGAGAGCGCGAAGTTCTTCGCGCTTCGCGCAGCGCGAAGCGCGAAGCTGGGAGCCCTTGATTTGGCTCGACACTTTTTACGCGTCGGCGGCGAGGCAAGGACTGCACCAGCGATCCAATCTGGCTCGAAACGTGCAGCAGAAACATATGGCCTGAGGCTCGGGTCGTATTTTTTGGTGATGCTGCAGCTCCTTTGCAACGTCGAATCTCAGAGAAGGCGCCGCCATGGGTCGGCCGAGCCCAGCTCTGGGATAGGTTATTTCCGAGCGTTTCCGGACGCTCTCAGAGCGTCCCGCACCCGATGCATCCTCCAGAGCCGCGAGATCTCGGATAGATCCCCGATCCATCGCGGTCGATGTTTGTTGCCCAGGTTTTGGAGGCGAGGAGAGCCTAGCGCCAACCCCCAGAAGACGGGGCGAGGGCTCTGAGATCCTGTGGTCGTGCAGCTGTTTATTTTTTGAAATCAACGTTCGGTCTGCACACCTGCTGCTGACTTCCCACTCTGGGCGCCAGGGGGAGCAGGGCATGGGCAAGAACTCTGCTCCAGAGGCCAGATCTGTATTCATGCCGCCACTCTGGCCCGTCGTCGGGTTCGGGCGTGAGCAGATTCACGGAGAAGTCGTCGATCGCCTACGCGAGTGCTCGAGGAGCCAGTGCACGTTCAGCTGTTTCCTGAGATCCGACGCAGTGACGAAAATCTGCAACATCGTAAAAGTCATGACCGGAGCCCTTGGCCCCATCTTGGCGGCATTTTTCAAACCGGACCGCTCTTCGATGGTCCCGGGGCCCGAAACAAGGCAAAATCGCCCGCAGTGGAAACAGTGGCAACGCCAGGATCTCATGGAAGGACGTCCAACGCCGAAACGGGTAATTAGTCCTCCAGGATTGGTTTGATTTTGCGATTCCCAACCATTTTGTGGTGTTGGGTCCTCGTTGTGAATCCGCAGCGCAGCGCTTCACCTCAAATTTCACATTCCCGTCCACCTCCTCCTCCCGTCCACACGTTTCGTCGCACCATGAGGTGGCTCAACCGAGGGCGCCAGCAACAGGATCCGCATGGCGTACCCGCGCCCGATTCGGTACACCCCTCACACGCTTCGTGGCCCCATGCGCAGCTCCGCCGGGGGCCCGAGCGGCAGGGTCCGCATGGCGTGCGTACCCGCATCCAATTTGGCACACCCCTCACACGCTTCGTGGCCCCCTACCGAAGGGCCCAGCGACAGGGTCCGCATGGCGCACCTGCGACCCTTTCGGCATACCCCTAACACGCTTCGTTGCCCCATAGGGATCCCCAGCGGCAGGGACCGCATGGCGCACCCGCAACCGACTAAGCTCACCCCTCACACGTTTCGTGGCCCCGCACGGAGCTCCACCGAAAGCCTCACCAGCATGATCCGCATGGCGTTCCCGAACCTGCTTCGGCACACCACTTACACGTTTGGTGGCCCCATAGGAAGTTCCACCGACGGGCCCAGCGGTAGGGTCCGCAACGGTTCGGCACACCCCTGACACGTTTCGTGGCCCCATAGGGAGGGAACCTTACCGACGGTCCCAGCGGCAAGGTCCGCATGGCGTGCCCGCACCGATTCGGCGCACCCCTCACACGCTTCGTGACCCCACAGGGAGCTTCACCGAAGGACCCAGCGGCAGGGTCCGCATGGCGCACCCGCGAGCCTTACGGCAGACCCCTAACACGCTTCGTGGCCCCATAGGGATACCCAGCGGCAGGATCCGCATGGCGCACCCACACCCCACTCGGCGGACACGTTACACGCTCCGTGGCCAAACGAGGAGCTCCATCGAAAGCCCGAGCGGCAGTGTCTACATGGCGTATCCGCACCCGATTCTGCACACGTTTCAGACGTTTCGTAGCCCCGTGAGGAGGCCCCAGCGGCAAGGCCCGCATGGCGGACCCGCGCCCGATTCAGCACACCCGTCACACGCATCATGGCTCCATTCTCGTCTCGCCAGGAACATGTTGTTGAGATTTCTTCTACGGCTGTCATTGCGTCCGCCGTGGAAGAGGAAATTGATTTGCGGAAGGAGGAGGAGGAGGAAATTTAGGATGACGAAGAGGAGGATGAGGAGGCGGAACAAGAGAAAGAGGAGGAGGAGGAGGATCTCCTTTTCTTCATCATCATCATCATCAGCAGCATCATCATCGCCACTATCATTATCATGATCATCACCAGCAGCAGCATCATCATCATCAATACCATCCTCACCATCATCATCACCATCATCATCATCAGCATCATCATAATCACCAGAATCATCATCATCACAATCATCATCATCACTATTACCATCACCATCATCCTCAGCATCATCCTCATCCTCATCCTCCTCATCATCATCATCATCATCATCATCATCATCATCATTGTCTCTCTCTCTCTCTCTCTCCCTCCTTCTCTTTCTCGTTCTCCTCGTCTCTTCGCTACGGAATTGCCCCAAGAGGGTCCCGCAGGGGAGTCCCACGTCAAACAATTGCAGCGCGAGGATCTCTGGGTTCCTGCTCCTGCCCCAGGCGTGCCCCGCCCGCTCGACGCCAGCGCTGGCTGGGCCTGCGTGGCCGAGGCCCTCGAGGCGGCCCCGAAGGAGGGCTCCGGCAGCTCGTCGGGCGGGAGCACCACCGCCAGCGCGAGCGGCAGGCTTCGAAGGATACGATAATGCACACGGTTGGCCTTGGGGGGGAGGAGAAGGGAGGAGGAGGAGGAGGAGGAGGAGGAGGAGGAGGAGGAGGAGGAGGAGGAGGGAGGAGGAGGGGAGAGGAGGAGGAGGGAGGAAGGGGGATGATAATGATGATGAGGAGGATGAGGAGGAGGAGGAGGAGGAGGAGGAAGGGGATGATGATGATGATGATGATGATGATGATGATGATGATGATGATGAGATGAGGAGAGGAGGAGGAGGGAGGAGGAGGGAGGAGGAGGAAGGGGAAGGAGGAGGAGGAGGAAGGGGGATGATGATGAGGAGGAGGAGGCGGAGGAGGAGGAGGAGGAGGAGGAAGGGGAAGGAGGAGGAGGAGGAGGAGGAGGAGGAGGAGGAGGAGGTTCCGCTCGAGTGGAGAAGCCCTCGAGGAGGGCCCCTAGGCGCAGGGCTGTTCTCGAGCTATTTCAACGCCCAGAGCCGTTCTAGCCTGTAAACGACCTAGTTGTGGGCGAGATCCTGGATCCGCGTAATTTGTTAACTAACACCTTGATGAGGTTTAGGACGCTGATGTGCGAGCGCATGTTAGTAACAGAGCACGCCACGATCCCCCGATGCGAAGTATACACGATGCACGCCTTCGCCGATACCAAGGCCTCGTGGAGTTACACCAAAAGAAGTCCACTGCAAGGTGGAGAGCCCCAAATTCGCAGAACATCAGGTCATCGATAGCAACAGAAGCCCTTGCCCTAATTACACAGTGAAGGCGTGGCCTCACTTAGGTCCCCGTCTTCGCATCAGGGATACTCCATTCTGGGCGGCTTGGCCTGGCACATCTGCGGGACAGGCCCTCTGTCCCTACTGTTTTTGGCCCTCCTGACTTTGGCCCCCGCCCGAAGCAGCAGGGGTCCCGTCGTGCCTCATCATCAGGGTGCCCCTCCAACGCCAGGGCTGCTTTGCACGTCGCTCCAGCTGCACACCGTGCACGCCGGGCGCCCCGCGGCGGGGGCCACGAGGGAACACCAGGCTCGGGGCCCCGGGGCTCCCTCACCGGGCGCTCGAAGGGTCAATCCAAGACACGAGCGCACGCGTCAGCCGGCGTGGGTCCCGAACGTTGGGTGATTGCTCGGTGGGGGATGGAAGCTGTGCGGCGTCAGCTGTTTTGGGCAAGCTGTGTGGTGTCGGCTGTGTGGTGTAAGCTATGTTGTGCAAGCTATAACGTGTGAGCTGTGTGGTCCAATCTAGTCTGTGCAAGTTCTGTTGTGCGGCACGATATTTTGGTGTAAGCTAGTTGGCCTAAGCGTTGCGTCGTGAGCTATGCTGTGTAACTTTTTTGTGTAAGCTTTGGTGTGAGTGAGCTATGCGGCGAGAGATGTATGGCGTGATCTTAGCTCTGAAAGGAGAGCTATGCGGCAGAAGATCTCAAGATATCGTGTTTGTGTTACCCTGCGGCGCATAGCTGTCGCTACACAGGCTAAGCCACCCCCGTCCCCTCCCTCAGTAACGATAACGATTGTACGTATCACGGCAGGGATTCCTTGGCAACGGAAATATCTAAACAGAAACACAGTCACCCCAACGTCGACTCCAAATCTGCCTATTGCTCGAAAGCCCGGACGCCTGATCCACAGCTGGCCCTCGTGAAGGTTGCCACTTTTCGAAGGCTCAGGCGCCAAGCCAGTGGCTAGCCTAGCTCATAGAGCTGGCACAGGCCTCCGGCCCACCAGGAGGAGAGTCATCCTTCTGAGGGTCGCCAGAGCCGACAGAGGCCTCCAGCCTACCAGAAAGGGCGCCATCTCTGTGAGGGTCGCCGCTTTTCGAAGGCCAGAGCGCCGGGCCCACAGCTGGCCCAAAGAGCAGGCAGAAGCGCCATCCTTGTGAGGGTCGCCACTTTTCGAAGGCCAGAGCGTCCAGCCCACAGCTGCCCGACAGAGCAGGCAGAGGCCTCGCCAGAGTTCGCAGGCCATGGCGCCAGGCCCACTTCTGGCGGCCCACAGAGCCGGCAGAACCCTCCAGCTGGCGGCAAAATCGACTGGCCCACAGCTGGCCCACAGCCAGCAGAGGCGTCCTGCAGCCCACCAGAATGATCGCCATCCTCGTCAGGGTCGCCATACTTTCGAAGCCCAGAGCGCCCGGTCCACAGCTGGCCGACAGAGCTGGCAGAGGCCTCCGTCACACTTTGTGGGGCGCCATCGTTTTGTGAGGGTATCCGCTTGCTGTCGAAGGCCAACGCGCCCAGCCCACAGCTGGCCCACAGAGCCGACGCAGCCCTCCAGCACGCTGGGAGGAGCGCCATCCTCGTCCTGGTCGCCATTTTGCGACAGCCAAAGCGCCCAGCCCACAGCTGGCCCACAAAGCCGGCAGAGGCATCCGGCCCACCTTGAGGGGCGCCATCGTTGTGTGGTTGTCGCCGTGTGTTGTCGACACCCCAAGCGCCTGGCCCACAGCTGGCCCACAGAGCCGGCGCAGCCCTCCAGCTCGCTGGGAGGAGCGCCATCCTCGTCCTGGTCGCCATGTTGCGACAGCCAAAGCGCCGGGCCCACAGCTGGCCCACAAAGCCGGCAGAGGCCGCCGGCCCGCGAGGGTCGCCACTTTCCGACGGCCGAGGCGACTGGCCCAGAGAGCCAGCAGAGCCCTCCAGCCCGCGGGGGGAAGCGCCATCCTCGTCGGGGTCGCCACGTCTCGACAGCCAAAGCGCCCGGTCCACACTGTGCCCGCAGCCAGCAGAGGCCTCCGGCCCGCCAGGAGGGCCGCAAATGTTCGAAGGTCAGCGCGCCTAGCCCCTAGCCTATCCACCAGAACATCACAGCCATACACAAGCAAGCCCTCAGAGGCAAAGTGGCAACAGCGAGAAACGTAGCCTGACGAAGGACCCAACCATATGCTGCTGCGACTACCGCGGGAAAGATGAGACGAAGGAGTGGGGCGCGCAAACTCCGAGTAGCGCATGCGGTATAGCCTTCTGCTCTCACAGGCAGCGCGCCGCAAGAAGAACGAGGCGCGGGGAGGTGCGGGCAGAGGGGGGGGCGGAGCAAGAGGGTGGATTCTCAGATGTTTCCTTCGCCCTGGCGGCCGCCCTCTGGTGGCCGCGGCTCCGGGCAGAGCGCAGCGCGGAGTTCCCACGACGCGCGCGGGTCGTCCACTGCGCGGAGCAGGGAGAGCTTGCTGGCCGACAGCGGGCCAGGGATTGGCCGCCAGGCAGAGCGACGACGGGCGAACGAGGCGCTGGGCGGAGCGCAGCATGGAGTCCCCGCGACACGCGCCAGTCGCCCCGAAGGAGTCCCGGCAACGCGCGTGTGAGGGGTGTGCCCACATGGGCGCAGGACGCATGTGAACGCAACCGTTGGGTCGACATGGGCGCGGGACGCGTGTGCACGCAGTCACTGGGGCCTTCGGTGGAGCTTCCTATGGGGCCACGAATCGTGTGGGGGGTGTGCCAGCATGGGCGCGGGACGCATGTGAACGCAACTATTGGGGCCTTCGTTGGAGCTCCCTATGCGGTCACGAACCGTGTGAGGGGTGTGGCGACATGGGCGCGGGACGCATGTGAACGCAGCCAGTGGGGCCTTCGGTGGAGGTCCCTATGGTGTCACGAACCGTGTGAGGGGTGTGCCGAGATTGGCGCGGGGCGCATGTGAACGCAACCACTGGGGATTTCGGCGGAGCTCTCCAATCATGGGGTCGCGAAACGTTTGAGAGGTGCGCCGAAATTCAGCACACGCGGAGAGCAGAGGCACGATGCTGATGATGGCGATGGTGATGATGTGGGCGATGGCGATGGCGATGGTGAGAACGATGGGGTAACAATGGTGATAATGAGAATGAGGACTTGCAGAGGGCAGAGGCAGGGGTGGGAGGAGGGGAAGGGCACCGGGAGGCTGGGATGAGGAAGGGCAGCTACGGCGACACGACCAGCAACCACATCAGCAAAGGTGGTAGAGGTAGACGATAACGAATTCTCCATGCCAGGTAAGAGCCTTTTTTGTTGAAGCGTGGTTGGTGAACAAACAGAGCACCAGTACTAACAACACCATCGCAGGAACAGCAACAACGACATGATCAACTGATTTAGCAGCGCCAGCAATAATTGCGTCAACTACGCAACGACATGATGACTAGCAACACCATTTCACAAACAATACTTTTGTCAACAACTATGATACCATACGCATCACATGAACAGCAACACCGGAATGAAGAGCAGCCGCATCATGGCCAACACAAAACTACGATCATACGATCAGCAGAGAAGGCATGGCCACCCGCCTTATCATGAAGAGTGGCGATTCCAGCAGCAGCCACATCAGTGGCTATCTCAACAGCAAACTCCTAACGGGCAGCAGCCGCATCAGCGGTGCCGGCAAAGGTCTCCTATCATCAATTTCCACTGCCAGGTAAGAAGCCAGCCATGGTAAAGCATATTTGGGGATACAGATCAGATCAACAACAATGAGAACACCCCAATATCCGCATGGACAATATACCAGCAACAGGAAAGATACAGACGCACCAACATGTATAACGGCAACAAAAACAATATCATCTCATGATCAGCAAGGGTGACATGAGCAACGATTGAAGAGAAGCGTCAGCAATAATCGCCTCGATTATGTAATACCAGGATGAATAACTACCAACACCATATCCACATCAATACCGATGGCAGCCGCCACAGCAACCATGTGAACAGCGATGGCGACATGATGAACAGCCGCGTAATGAACATACATATTTATATGTATATATATATATACATTGACTTCAGCAGCAGCCACATCAGCGGCACCCTCAACAACATATTAGTATCGGGCAGCAGCCGCATGAGCAATGCGGGCAGAGGTCTCCAAACACAAATTTGACTTTCCAGGTAAGACCTCCTCCATGCTAACGTCCTCAAGATACGCATGTACAATCTAAAGACAGCAGGAATAACACATATACACCAACACGTGGAACCGCAATAATACAAACACAATCTCAGGAACAGCAGCGTCGACACGAACAACGAGATGATGATCTGTCGCAGCATCCGCAGCAATCGCATCAACTACGTAAGCAAAATAACAACACCGTATCAACCACAATACATATGGCAACAGCCACAACAACATCCCAACCACATGAACAGGAACGACTTGAGCAGGAGCCGCGTCATGACCACGAAAGCGTAGCAAGCACATGAACAGCACCGATGACATGAGCACCAGCCGCATCATGAACAGCAAGGATGATTTCAGCAGCGTAACGGGCAGAAACCTTATGAGGTGTCCCATCATCAATTATCATTTCTAGGTAGTTTCGAACCAGATGAATGGTAATGACAACACCCCACAATCCGCATGAACAGCATGACAACAGGAAGAGCAAACATATACCAACTGGAAAAACACACATATACGAACACGTAGAACCTTCTGCTGCAGCACAGTCGGGGACATATTTTGAATTTCATTTTCGAACTGCATCGACCTACGAATAGACGTATCTTGGGGCTGTCACACATTTCCTTTGAGTGGGCTCCCATCTGGGCGCCAGGTCGTTCGGACAAAAAGCAGCAAGACAGCGTCGGGGTTAACGTGTTCTCGGGCCACACTTTCTTCATCGTTTTGTGGCACATGTTGTTGCTGTTTTTTGGTGTCGCAGTTTATTTGGCTTTGCGCGTCGTGGATTATTGGGGAACCTGCGCGCAGCTTAGGTGTGCGTGTCAACCCAAGTGTTTGCGAAACGGTTATGTTTTTGCTATGTTGATGTTTGCTGAATTTATGTTTGATGGAGTTGCGTCCAATGTGGATGCGATGCGTAGGGGGGGGGCTTGGACCCCTCCCCCACATCGCAGCGCACCCCTTCCCCCGCGCGCCCAAGCCCAAGCGTTACTGTTACCCGCCCCCCCTCCCCAAGTTTCGACCGCTGCAGGGAACAGCATAAAACAATCGCCAAAGAACTTTACGCAGTTGCACGACTGGGGGCCACGAGGGGGGTCACGACAGGCCACGGGTCTGCAGACAAGAGCGTGCTTGATCGCTTTGGGCATAATGGGCATTATAGCCCCCCCGGCTCCCGTCCTGTAACGTACCGCCCCTCCCCCTCCGTGCGTTCCGGGTATTGTCGCCGTGCGCATCGGGATCCCCATCGGCGTCCGCATAGGAATCCGACTAGGAGTCTGGTCCGCATTGGAAATTTCATGGGGATCCGCATAGGCATGCGCATGCGCATGTGCATAGGGATCCGCACGCCGCGTGAGGAGCCGCATGGGAATTCGCATAGTAGACAGGCGCTGTGGTGTGCACAGGCGCTGCGGTGCATGCAAGCATTGTGGTGTACACAGGCGCTTTGTTGCACATGGTTGCTGCGGTGTTACACGTTCGCTGTGGTGTACACCGGCGCTGTGGTGCACGCAAGCACTGCGGCGTACACAGGCGCTGCGTCGCACACGGCTGTTGCGTTGTACGCAGGCGTTGTGGTGTACACGCGCGGTGTGGTGCACGCGAGCATTGTGGTGTACACAGGCGCTGTGGGGCAGGTCGCCACCTACATGCTGGTCGCGTCGTCGTCGTCGTCGTCGCTCTTCGCTCGTCGCTCATCGTCGTCGTGCGCGCGGGCGCGGCTGTAGTGCCGGAGCCACGCGGCGGGGGGGGTCGTTACATTATACCCCGCCCGCACCCCCGCTATAATGCCCATGATCGCCCAAAATACAGAAACGAACTCCAAGCTGATGAGAGAAACGTGAACGTTCAAGTGTCCGCGTGGATTCCTTGGATCTGCTCCGGACCCTTGGCGACGCTGGCGCCGCCCCTGGCGCGCTGCTCGCGCCAGGGACGGAGGTCCAGCCCCCACCCAAGAAATCTTCGCAGACCCTCGAATGCTTTTGAACTTCCGGTAGGTTCGTGCCGTGTCGATGCCGCGGCGACCCCACCGCGAGCCTTCAAGGTTGAACGCCGCCAGTGGCCAACCAGCCAATACGGGAGCTACCTGGCGATCGAGAAGCCACCGATCTTTCAGGGTTGAAGAGATTCACGCGGTGTCCGAAGCCAACGCCAGGGTCGTCACGACACGAACCTCTTGGTCTCGGCCTGGGTCGCGGTACGTGTCTGTAACCATTGGAGGGGCCAAGCACGAGCAAGCGACGTCCGTTGCAATGCAGCCAAATTTCCCCCTCGCCGCGGGAGCGGCCGCAACGCTTCTCTCGGAGCTCCCTCCCCTGACCATAGGAAACCATGGTGCTACGCCGTGCTTGTCTGCTTCCGTGTTCGTATGTTGCAGTTGTTCTATGAAATATGCCGTACGGTTGGTTCGTGTCGCGGCGACCAGCGGCGACCCCGCCGCCGACGTGCAAAGTCGGCCGCCGCCGGCGTCCCCGAATCGGCCGATGTGGAACGATCCGACGTCTCGGACACCGCCCATGATTCCGGAAGCGGCCGATCGCCCTCGTGTGGGCTCCTTTGTGTTCGAGGTTGGCCGGCCCCTGCGGTGCCCAGGGTTGTAAGTCGAGCCTGCTGTCCCCCTGCAGGAGGAAGATCCAAGAAGAGTCGCAAAAATAGTCTGGGGACGATCTTCCAGATTATTTTGACCATTTTTCAATTCATTTGGGGGATTTGCTTCTGGTTCGTCCAACATCCCCCTGTATTAAGGGGGGACAGGCCAGGCCTAAGTTAAAAAGGAGCCAGCGTCGAAGCCGGCCCTTCGCGCGAGCCTGCCGTGCGCATCCCCCCTGGCCCGCGGCCCAGGAGGGCGCAGGCGCGCCGCTCCCCCTCGGGGGGCCGGGCCCAGGGGAGGATGGCCCCCGTCGGGAGCCTTGAGACGGGGGTCAATGTAGACGGGGGTCAGCCAGGGCACCGGATCCTGCAGGATCCTGCGAAGAACCCCTTTGGCTGACCCGGGTTAGCGAGCCGCTCGTGGCCGCGAGGCGGTCGCGCCTATTGGCTGACCCGGGTTTGCAAAGACCTGCATTGCAGTTTTTTGTTCTGCATTGCAGTTTTTGGTTACTTGCTGACTCGGGTCTGGATTGACTCGGGTCAGAAGATCCCAGAGTCGTCGGCGTCACCCCAACATACTGATACTGTATGTGCGTCGCCCCCCCAGGGGCGACGCGCGCACCGAGGAGTCTTATAGTATATGCGTCGTGGCGGGCGCTTTCTGGCCACAGCGCTCGGGAAACGATATACTACAAGATGGGTATACTATATGTCAAGCAGTGGCGGAGCGACCCGGCTCGCCTATAGCGGGCCAATGTTCTGAGAGCATTGTTTTTGTTCTCAGAACACTTCTGGGTTCTACGAGCATGTCGTGGTATGACTATAGGAATGCCGGGACGGTCGGTCCCTGCTCAAAGATGTTCGGGTCGGACGCGCGCCTCCAGGGAGGACACACAGTATATCAGTGTGTCTCTGTGCGTCCCATGGGCGGCGGGCGCCCCCTCCCCTGCCAGGGCTCGTCGCTTCGGCTCTTCTCCGAGGCGGTTCGCTTCGATCCGATTCCGATGGCTTCCGATGCCGACGCGACCCCAGACCCCCTCGAGTGGTGAAGAAATCGTGACGGGAGGCTTCCCCAAATTTTCGGCCTCCTGGGGCCCTCACCAGGCCTCGGGACCAGCAAACAATGACTCAGGAGGGCAAACCAGTCCCAGGGAATAGGTCGAAACCTTTGGGGGTCGACGTCATGAAACAATTATGACGTCGGGGGTCTGGGATTCGGGCTCGGATTTGGATGTGGGATCCGATTTCTCAATGGAGGCCTACGAGCCTGCCGGTGTCTGCCAGTTCGACATTTCCCGACTCGGCTGCCGATGTCCGTCGGACCTCTTCATGTCGGTGGCCGATCCGACTTGCCGATTCGATTCTGGGTTCTCTTGCCCCCCAGTCGAGGGGGCAAGAACGGCATGGAGTCGGACCGATGTATCAGATCGAGGTCGGTTCGGGGAGGGCCCTCGGATGTTCTGGTTGTTGGATGTTCTGGTGCACCCTGGGGAGGGTGCCCTCAGATGTTCTGTTTGTTGGATGTTCTTGCGCATCCTGGGGAGGGTGCCCTTGCGATGTTCGGTCTGTTTTGGCCGACAGGGGGGTCTCGTGCTCTTGAAGGGTGCTCTTCTGGCCAAGGCCCAGCTGTGTGAGCACGATTGCTCGGAGCTCCGCGCGGCTCTCTCGGACCTGCGCCGTGCTGTTCTTGTATCCCTCGGAGGCTGCGCGAGGGCGACCGCAGCAGCAGCTGCTGCTCCGAGGAGAGCACCACCGGCAGCGACGTCGAGCGCACAGCGGCCACGGATCGCGCGACCACACCCCTCCTGACGTCTCCCCCCTGCTCCTCCTCATCACTCCCTCTCCTCCACATTCCCCCTCCTCCTCCTCCTCCTCCTCCTCCTCCTCCTCCTCCTCCTCCTCGCTTGTGTGTGCTTCTCCTCCTCCTCCGCCTCCTCCTCCTCCGCCTGCCCCTCCTCCTCCTCGTCCTCCTCCACTACCTCCCCCTCTGTTTGACTCCGCGGGTGGCGCCGCAGGCGCTAACCCTCGTGGGTCGAAAACGAGAGAGAGAGGGGGGGAAACAAACAACATAAACAGAGAGAGAGAGAGAGAGACAAGCAAAGGAGAGGCAGAAAGAGGAAGAGAGAGAGAGAGAGAGAACAGAGTCAAGAGGCGCCGAAGTCGCCTAAAGCGAACATACAGCATGGCGACGCGCGCGAATCGCAGGCCAAGGGCAGCGGGGGGGCGCGAACCTGAGAAGGGAGGGAACAAGAAGAGAAGCCAGGAGCGGGGAGGGACCGAGCGACGCAGATGCGGAAAGGAGGGCCAGGCAGCGCAGCGACGAGGCCGAAGAGGAGAGGAAGGAGGGAAACCTCCTCCCCCTCCCCCTCTTCCTTCTCCTCCTCCTCCTCCTCCTCCCTCCTCCTCCTCCTCCTCCTCCTCCTCCTCCTCCTCCTCCTCCTCCTCCTCCTCCTCCTCCTCCCCCCCCTCCTCTTTCTCCTTCTCCTCCTCCTTTTCCTCCTCCTCCTCCTCTCCGTCCTCCTCAACCTCCTCCTTCTCCTCCTCCTCCTCCTCCTCCTCCTCGTCCTCACGCGGCCCCCACCGACCCCGCCAGAAGACAGACGCGCGTGGGCAACCACGACTTTGTGCATATCGGGCACGGGAGAGGACCATTCACCAACCGTTCGGCAGGCGTGAGCAGTGGCATACCGCGTCGAAAAAAAAACATGACCGGAGGTTTTTGATATTTTCGGCCCTGGGCACGTTCAAACAACGATTCAGGACCGGCACTGGGGAATGTGACGGGACTTCGGGGGTCGCGTATTGAAAAGATCACGACATCGGGTCTCTGGGATGTTGAGGGGCGAGGCTCGAGAACAGGAGGTTTTTGAGGCGTCGGGACCTCGGCTGCAGACTCCATCGCGTTGTACCTGGACCCGTCTCTGCGCACGGACGGACGGGCCTCGTCCGTGTCACCTGTGGCTCTCGCTTGACATCGCGATCGTGGCGTTGTGCTTTCCGCCGCCTGGCCCCCGCGGCACGCGGACTGCATGGCGCAGGGCGGTCGACGTGCTGCTCGAGTTGGTCAACGCCCAGCTCGACGCCACCCCTGAGCGGTCGAGTCTGATCGTCTTCGCTGATCTGAACGACTCGTTCGCGTTGGACGAGACATCGGCGGGCTTTCAGCGCGAGGGCCGTTTCGTATAGGATTGCATGAGGCACGTGCCGATTAGCTTACGTGAGCTACTGCATCTCCATGTCCTGGGCTGCCCACCACCTCCCTTAAGATGTCGCCCGCATACAACGGGCGAGAAGTCCCCTCGTGGATCGATAACTTTATCGTGCCGCTTGGCGTGCTACCCAGGGTCAACCAGGTCTTGACTATGACGAAGGCGGCCAGGATATTGGAGCTGTTCCTGTTCAAGGGTATCCTCCGCGACCGCCCGCCAGGCTTGATGGAGCTGGACGTCGGCGCGCGTAGTTTACAGACTTCCGCCCGCCATTGCATGGCACGTCGACGCGGTGGAGACCGCCCTGCAGATTCCTGGGCCCAGGGAAGCCTTCGAGGAGCTCGACACGGTCATGGCGGCGAAGGCTCCCGACTTTCTCTGTTTTTGGAGGCTGACAAGATCGACGAGGGCTACCAGTCGCTGGCGTCCGTCCTCATGCCTGTTGCCAACGGGCACTTCGGCAGCGAGCGCATAGCCCCTCGCGAGAAGCTCTCGCTGCATCGCGCTCGGCTCCGTCTGCTCCTGCGCCAGCGCGCTCGCATCCGAGGGCCATGCGCGCCGCGCGTTTTTCTCGGCGGGCAGATCCGCGACATCACGAATCACATCTGTTAGGAGGTCAGACGATGGAGGAGGTCGCCGCGTAGGGCTCGGACTGAAGGCCTCCGCGAGGCCTGGCGTCTGCGATCTAGCCAGCGCGCGGCATTATAGTCGACGCTTCGCGGGCGCGGGCCTGGGCCCGAAACGCCGCGGCTACGCGGAAGCGCGCCTGCGCAATGTTTTGTCAGACAAGTTGGTTGCCTCTCAGGTTGCTCCTGGGAAGGGCGGCGGCGGCGGCCTCTCCGCTGCGCGGGCTTTGCTCCCCGATTTGAGACAATCGGGCCCAGCCCCCCCTCGCGGCATCGGCGACAGGAGCTCGGCTGCGGAGCTGGGCCGGCGCGATCTGTTTCGGACTTCGGGGGCGCTTCGACGCGCCGCCCGGCGCTGGGCCATTGCTCCCCGATCTGTTCCTGCGAAAATCGCGCTCGTGCTTCTCAGGCCGCTTTGCTACAGCAAGCCTCGCCCCAGCGCGTTCGGCCGCGGCGCCACCCCCCCCCTCGGCGGCGCGCGCAATTGAGGTCGGGCTTGGAAGTCCCGCCGCGCGTTGGAGGGTGCGCGGGCGTTGCGCTACGCGCGCTGGCTTCGCGACGAGCCCGATGGGGGCGCTCGTTTGCTGCGCGGCCCGCGCCCTCTTTTCGCATGATTTGCAAGGGGGTCCACAGATCGGCCTCTCGAGGCCAACTGGCTGATTTCGACCGCGGGTGCACCCCGCGCTGTTGGAGGGATCGCGCCATGCTCGGCGCGCGTGCGTTGTCTGCTCGCCTGCGCGCGGCGCGCGTGCAGCGCGTCGCTATGTTTGACAACGTGGGGAACGTTTTCGGCCGTTGCGCGCGTTCTCGCATGGGCCAGGTGCTTCAGGACATTCTCGCCCTCAGTGGACGCTCGGCCCCTGTCCGACAGGCGCGCCGCGTGTGTTTCGCGCGTCGATGGAGTCGACCAGCGCGCCGCCCCTCACCTCCGAAGCGGGGCGCCCGCGGGGGCGCCCCGCGCGCCCGGTGAATTCAGAGCAGATTATGCCCCCATCTGCAGCGGTGGTTGGACCAGGGCACGGATTCCAGCCTGATTGCACGATGCCCGCGCTTCGGCGTTGGAGTTTACGCTGGCCTGTTACACGCGCGAACGATGTAGCGCAGTTTCTCCCCCCGCAGGAGGGCGCGCTCGACGGGGCCGTCTCGACCGCCCGGGCGTCGCAGGACGCCGCTGGCAATTGGCCCCAAGAATTCGGGAATCGCCAGGGCGCTGCGCGGCAGAGCCCAGCCCTTCCACTTCGCGGAAACAGCGCCGCGCACAAGTTTTGCACGGCCCAGGTTGGCGGGGCCAAAGTGGCCCCCCGCGCCGGGCAGCAGATCCCCCCGTCAGGGGCGATGGCGCATCGGTTGAGTTTGGGCAGGCAGGCTGCTAATAAGGGGCCAAGGTGAAAATATTAGCATTCATTTATGTTGTGCCAGGTGCGTTTCTGTCCGGCCTCGCCCCATTGCCTCGCTGAGGCTCAGGAGGCCCAGGAAGACACTGCGCTGCTCGGTGCAATCCGTTGCATAGCTGCCCGGGCAGCGTGCGACGGCGCGCCTTACGGCTCGGGGGCCTCGTCTGGCTTGGAAGTTGATGAACGTCGCCCCCTCCCGCGTCGAACAGTTGATCCAAAGGCTTCGCCGGCGTCAATGGAACGCTCGATGGCTCGACCAGCGCGCCCGGGACATCGCCCTGCTGCGCGGTCAGTTCGCCCTCGAGTCGCGACCTACCCTGGCCAGAAAAAAATGCCAGGCGGCCTCCCACCGGAGGGCGGCCGCCTGAACGAGCAAGCCAACGCGTTTGCGATTCGGTTTGTCACGGGCGCTCACAGACTAGAGTTGCTCGCCGGCTGCGAAGATTGGAAGCGCAGCAGGGGGGGCGCGCGCGCGTTTCGCGATGGTCGCGCCAGACATTTTTTTTCTCGGCGGGCGTCTCGGCGCTCCGCGAGATTTGGATGCGGTTGCGCGGAGTTGGATGCGATTGATGTCGGCGACGCAAAGGATGAGCGAAGTGCTGAAGTGCTGGGCCGCCCAGGCGGCGCGCGTCGCTGCGATTGCACTGCGGGGGGCGGCGGCGCATGCAAGGCTAGTTTCACCCCTCGCGCCGCGCCCGTCGCGCGCGAGGCGCGCGACCGGGGGGTCGCGCGGTGAGTTCGCCCGCTGTGCGATGACCAGTCAGCGCCCCGCGCGTCGGCCCAGCTTCGTTTTCCAGGAAACCGCCGACGCCCATCTATGTCCTGACGCTCGCAGAGGGCATTGTGCCGCGCCGTGCATCCCGCGGTTTCTCCCAAACTTGCGCGCCCAGTCTGCAAGCTCGGTGGCCTCGCCGACTTGGCTCAGCTCGAGGAGCGCGCGCGCGAAACGGCGTCTTCCTCTCGCCCCCGACCGCGACGGACGCCCGGCGCCCCCAAGCGGCCCCCCCCACCGCCGGGCCGAGGCCGAGCCAGAAGGCGCGCCAGCCGCCGGCGAGGCGAAGCCGCCCCACAAGGGACCGCCCGCGGGCGCGGCAGCAGGTTCGGCGTCAGACGCAGCTCCTGCACCAGGCGCGGGGGGAGACAAGAAGCAGCGCAACCGGCGCCCTGGCGCGGCGAAGGACATAGGCTTCAACGAGCAGAAGGCCAACCTGATCCACGCGCTCATCGAGCGAAGCCCCGCGAAGGTGCAGATGGCCAGATACTTCTGGGCGGCGGGAGTGGGCGCCTACTTCGCAGGCGCGGGCGACCCCGAGATCGTCGCCGTGCGGGGAAGCGGGGGGGCATATTCGCGATAAGTCAAAACCTGACGAAAGGCCGCCAGTTGGGTCGTTCTCACCTGCGCATCTTCAACGGCTTTCTCGCCAAGCTGCTCGCGCGCGGAACTGCGCCGGGGCAGCGGGCGCACGGCGCGCTCGAAGACTGGCGCGCCCTGATCGGAGCTGCAGCTGGAGGACCTGCGCGACCTGCCGCGACACTCCAGGGCGATGAGATGCTTCGACCAGAACAAGCTCAATGTGCACATCTTGACTCGCGAAGTGCCGACGGAGGGCGCGCCGCCCGAGTCCCACGAGCAGCCGCTTTCTTCCCCCGCGCTCGTCCGCAGCTTGCCCCGTAAGGCCCTGCGCGAGACAGGCGCGCGGCGGGCCATTGGCGCGGCAACGCCAGGAGCCATGGTGGAGGTGCTGCAGAAAGCGGTCGACGGCATGGGTGATAGCACCCAATCAACGCCGCAGAGTTGACACCCCTGTGCAGGATGCATGCGTTTCGCCCGCGGTCGTCGTCAAATTGCAATTCGCTTGGGTTTAGTGTCTCCACCATCGCGGCCCGTCCGCCAGGGGCCCCCGTGTTTACACCTGTGGTGGCCCTCGGGCGCATATGTAGGACGGGCGCGTCGGGCGTTGCTGGATCATTGGGTGGGTAGCGACTGCCTGTTGCCAGACGAAGGGGTGGGCAGTGGCTTTTTTTCCGACAGTGGGCGGGCGGTAGCTGATTGTTTCCACAGAACATACGGTGGGTATGGGCTGCATATTTCCAGCGAGTTGGGTGGGTAGTGGCGGCATTCTGCAAGACGCTCTTGATATGGGTATAAGTATTGCCCGCAAAAGAAGCAGCTCTGGACGCGTTTTCTTCGGCACGCTGCGCGGCGCACGTACCCGACGCGTGGGTGAGCGGCGGCCGCGGCCGCCGACGAGCAGAGGCATCATAGCCTGGCCTGGAGCGCGTCCGTGAGCTCGGACGGCCACGAGAACCCGCCAGCTTCGTTGCCTCGACACGCCCGTTTTGAGACGCAACACGCACCGTGCTGAAAGCGTCCGTGTGAATACGTCGCGCGTTGGCTCGGCGTATTGGCCCATTGTTTGGCGAACGTGCACGCCGGTCGCTGAAAGTAGGTATTTCTGGATTCCCAGATCCCAATCTACTTCAAGCGCCTTCCTACTTCAATCATCGGCACGCTTCTGCTGTGTGTTGTTATTCCCTGGGGGGGGCCTGGACCCAATCAAGTTAATCCGCCTTCCCACTTCATGTTTCTACCTACTTTTTTCCGACCGACGTGTAGTTATCGCGTCATACCCACGCTTTCACTCTACGTGTTGAGCCCCGACTCAAGGGGTCACGCGCTGCGTGTTGCGTATCGGGGCAGCAACGCCCACCAGATTTACCCTTTGACGCCTGGCCCTCCCGCGGCGGCCAGGGCGATCGAGCGCCCGTGCGATCGAGCGCCCTCGGCGCTCCTCCTCCTCCTTTCCCTCCTCCTCCCAGGAGGAGGAGGAGGGGGAGGAGGAGAAGGGAGGAAGAGGAGGAGGAGGAGGAGGAGGAGGAGGAGGAGGAGGAGGCGGAGGAGAAGGAGGAGGAGGAGGAGGAAGAGGAGCAGGGGGAGGAGGAAGAAGAGGAGGAGGCTTTGAGGAAGCGCCCGCCCGTGGCGCCGAGGCAGAGAACTCCCCGCGGCCCGCGGAGGCGAGGGCCGGCCTCGCCGCGGAGGGCTCGGAAGAGGCGGGTGCCTCGGAGACGGCGTCCTCCCGTGGCTCTAGGTCGGATTCGGGCGAACGGGTCCTCTGCAAAGGTCGTGGTAGGAGAGGGAGGAGGAGGAGGAGGAGGAGGAGGAGGAGGAGGAGGAGGAGGAGGAGGAGGAGGAGGAGAGGAGGAGGAGGAGGAAGGGAGGAGGAGGAGGAGGAGAGGAGGAGGAGGAGAGGGAGGAGGAGGAGGAGGAGGAGGAGGAGGAGGAGGAGGAGGAGGAGGAGGAGGAGGAGGAGGACCTCCTCATCCTCCCTTCTCCCCCGTCCGCCATATGGTAGTGGTGGTGGAAAATTTGCCCACCAGGTCGGGGGGGGGGTAAGGCTTGCGTGCACCGGAGCTAGGGTGCGCCGGCGCTTTTTGGGCGAGCGCATCGTGGACTTTGGCGTTCCAGTTTTCGTGGGATGTTTCCAGCGGGAGGCCACGTCAAGTTTTAGACTCGATCTCGTCAGTTTTCGTGATGGCCTCGTCAGGTCAATTCGAGTCCCCCGAACCCGAGTCTTACGTCTCCCCCAAAATGGGGTCTCAAAAATGTCAGCAACGGTTCGTGCAATCGTTCGTGTGGGATGCGCACATCGTACGATGTCGGCACGTGGCTGCCACGCGCCATGCGCCGCAGGATGAACTGTTGCATATTTTGTGACCCCAGTAATTACGAGAGCAAAAACCCTGCGCCCACAACCAACTAGGTTCGAGTGGGCGGCAACCTGCACAGTTTGCTATGGAAGACGCGGGTCCTGACAGAAGCGGATCTTGGTGCGTGTTCTCCTTTTGGGGGGGCTTCCTCTGGGGCCCTCCACGGGCCTTCGGGGCCGTCATAAGACGACTTAGGAGGACGATTGTTTTGGGGGGAAGGCCCCTGGGTCTAGGATCTGTTTCCCTCAGGATTCATGTTCTTCTTCCATGCCAGCCAGTACAGAGTAACCATCCGCAGATTAGATCCGTTTGGGGTTCGGAAGGGGCTCGATGTTCCCTGGGTCTTTCCGTGGGTGTACCTGACTTTGGGTGCAACCGAGGCCCAAGAGAGATTCCTCTCCTTGGCCCAGGTGTCTTGTGGCAGCGCTTTGATTGGAACTGCGTCAAAACTTAGCTTTTCTCCCCGTGGATTAGGTACTTGCCCATTCGAGTAAACGTTTACACGATTGCCCATCGAGGGGCAGTGAGTATGGGGGTGTGAATTGTACTGTCAGTCTGGGAGCTGTCGGTTTCGGTGGCGTTTCGCGGCGCGTCGGGTATTCCCGCTTGTCAATGCAGGAACGACTCCTAGCCAGTTGCTGCAAGGTGGAGAGTGAAGAAACACCGGCGGAACAAGAAGGAGGCAGGTGCCGGTCCTCACCGCGAAGGCATTGTCCCAACACCCGGCCCGCTCAACAAGAGAGAAATAGAGAGAGAGAGAGAGAGAAGACGCCGTGCACGTCAGAGGTGCATGGGCAGGGAAACACTGGTGCCGACGCGACGGCAGCCGACGGCCGTGAAACACTTCGAACACCCCATCGTCGCCAACTCTGTGGACAGGGCGTGTCTGATAACCTGTACATGACGCAGCATTCCGCCTTTTGATAACTCATCCCCAAAATACATGAGACAAATCACGGCTCAGCAAGAGAGTGAGCAACGTCGGGGAGCAGTTTGGAAGCCCCCTGGAGCCACGATGGAGCCGTTGGCCCCTTGTTAGGGGACCTCCTGGCGCTCGTCTGCGGTGGTGCTGGAAGCTTGCGGCCAAACCTTCAAAGGTGGCTGGACGTAGTCTTCACTCGGGCATGTCCCTCTACGGGAGGAATTGTCAGAGATAGTCAAAACATAATCTGGGGACGATGTTTCGATTATGTGTTCACTAGGTTTGAGTTGTTTCTTGCGTGTGCTTCAGTTTTCTTTCAACATCCGTCTGCAGGAGGACATGCCCGACTTAAACCTGGTCTTCCCTCATAATCCGGAACGTGTCCTCTCGCGGGCCTCTTGAATCTTTCCTTGGGTGCTCTTCGGGGCCCGTGGGGCTTCCCGTGCGGCCGTCTGTGTGGAAGGGCGGAGATCGCAGCCGTCGGTTGCTGAACAGCCCTGGCCTCTGCGGAGCCTCTCTGGAATCTTGTAGGCAACATCTTGGGGCTGCTTAGGGCATCGTGGAGGCATGTTGGAGGATCTTTGGGTTACCTCGCGCCATCTTTGAGGCAACGCCATGCCACAGAGGCGCCACCGTGGGGCCATCTTGGCCGCTCCAACTGGCCTCCCCTCCGAAGGACTGCCGCCTCGCTCGCTCCCACCCGCGCTCCCACCACAGGAGCAGCGGCCGAGGCTCGGCCTCGGTCCGGGCCGCGCAGCTGCCGAGGCTCGGCCTCGGTCAGGGCCGGCACCGGAGGGGCAGCCGGCGGGCACCCGGGCGGACGCGACGGACGCGACGCTCGCGAGGCTCGCCGTGCCCGCTCGGTGCGCCTCCTGCGCTGGGTGCGCTCGGAGTGCCACACTGTGGAGGCCCACGCCAAGAGACACCCTGCTTGCCTCCAGGGTGCCCTGGGTTTCTTGGATTCTGATGGTTTTGCGGTGGAGAGCGTGACGTTCCCACACCGAGCATCAAGGGACGCCCTGGGGTCTCAGGGTTGGGTTTCTTGTGGAAGGTTTCTCGTGGACTGGCCCCCACTGTACGCGCCTCGTGCGCCAGCTATGTGTGCCACGTCGGAGTGTGCCAGGCGCGCCAGTGCACATGACTGCACGGATCGGGAGACATGTCGACCCCCCACCATCCTCGTCGAAAGCAGATGGGAAGAGACGGCGGGGTTGGCGCGTGCACCCGTAAACACTTTGAAGGGGATGGGGGGCCCACGCGGAACATACAAAATGCGGACACCCCCATAATCCCAGTCGAAAGCAATGCCACATAATCGTGGGACGACCTCACATGGGCCAGTATTTGCCGCCATGATATTTTTGAATTATTAAGTTTTTCATTTGGATGGTGGGCCTGTGTAAGCAGGACGATATGATGTCCTCCCGCCGCCCATGCCAAAATACAATACAGTGATCGCGGGGCGCCGGAACACGATCAAGATTTTGACACACTGCGCGCTTTGCAGTGGTCTTTGGCGGGGATGATGAGGGGTGCCAGCATTGGCCCTGGGTCGGGGCGTGCCGAGTGGGGGACAGGGTGTTTCGCAACATGGAGCGTTGGCCAGTGTCCCAGAAGGCAGGCCACACGCTATCGTGCCGCCGCCCGCCATTCCAGCACGCCAGCTTCTTCACCCGGGGCTCCACGTCGTCAGCGGTCGCCCTCCGAGGGACCGCCACGCACAGAGCCAGCATGGCTGCCGGGTGCCTCGCGCGTGCGGGGCTCGCCGGGCGTGGCCGATGCGCCTCGCCGGCCACGCGCCGCGTGCGCCAGGCCGCGCGGCAGCACGCCCCCCCACGACGCCGACCCCCGCCGCCACAGCCCGAGCAGCACACGTGCGGCGTGGCGGCGGGGATGGCCAGCGTCGCGCCCGGTGCCCGTGCGCCAGGGGCGCTCGGCACTGGCCGGCAACAGGCGTCGACGGTCACCACCCACCAAGCCAACCCGGCCCAACCCGCAGGCTTAGAAGTACCTTTCGATTTCCAGTGGGGGGGGGAGGTCGGGAACCATCGAAAGAAGACATGTGGAACCCTTTGCCCCCCCCCCAACCCGAAGTTCGGGCCGTCGGGTTGGGTTGGGGGTGGTCTGGTAGGTGGTCGGACGGCCAGCGCCCCGCGGGCAGCGCGTGCTCGCCCGCCGGAGCCCCTCCCCGGTCAGGAGGCAGGCGCGGCACGGTGCTCGGGGGGCCCGCGTGCGGCGGGCCCCGCCCTGCCGCGCCGCGGAGGCCTGCGCTGGCTCCTGGCAGGGTCGGCGGGAGGCTGCCCGCCCGAGGCCTGGTCCGTGGACGCTCGCGTGGGGCCAGGTGGGGGGTGTTTGCTACCGTCATGTCGGGCCTGTCCTGTCCCCCTACAGCGGGATTCTCGACGAAAAATAAAAAGCACCGTCAGCAAATACCCCAAAAAGGCAAACAGATTCAAATAATCGTCCCCATATTATTTTTGGAATTTGTTTTACTTCGTTTTGGGGTATTTCTTATTTTTCGTTGAATCTCCCCCTGTAGGGGGACAGGCCCGACTTTAAGCCAGGGCCCCTCCCGAGACAGCAGCTTGCTTGCAGCACCTGCTTCCCAGCGGCTGCGCTGTAGTGTCTCCCGCCGTGGCGGCCGCGGGGGAGGCGGCGCCCGAGCGAGGGCGCGCAGCGGTGCCCTCCACCGCCGAGGCAGGCACAGCTCGCCGCAGGCGCCGCTCGTGGGCGGGTCGGCCCGCCGCGGGCGCCGACGTGGTGGAAGCGACTACGCTTAAGTCGGGCCTTTCCCCCTACAGGGGCATGTTCGACGAAAGATGAAGAATACCCCCAAAATATTTCAAAAATACTCAAACAATAGTCTGGGGACTATTTTTTGTATCTTTTGGACCTTTTGGGGGTATTTGGGGGGTATTTCTTATTGTTCGTCGAAAATCCCATTGTAGGGGGGGGGAAGGCCCGACATACGGCTGCGCGGGTGCGTCGCGGGCGCGTCGCGGGCGCGTCGCGGGCGCGTCGCGGGCGCGTCGCGGGCGGGTCTCGCGGGGCGAGGCAACGAGACAGCACGGCGGGTCACGACGAGAAGCCGCCCCGCGGAGGCCCACTCTTCGGCCAGGCACCCCGGGGACGGCGCGAGATCGTGTTGCCCCCCTCACTCTGGTGTTAAGTCGGGCCTGTCCCCCTACAGGGGGAGTTTCGACGAAAAATGAAAAGTACCCCAAACATACCCCAAAAAGGTCAGACAATACGCAAAAAATAGTCCCCGTATAATTTTTGGATTATTTTTGGATTATTTGTGCCCCCTGTAGGGGGACAGGCCCGACTTAACACTCTGGTGAAGAATGGGGCAGAAATATGTCATATACCCACTGCCCGAAGGGGGAGAGACGGGCCGGTTTGAGAGAGCGGGCCCCCCAACCCATTTGCGGGCTTGTGGGGCTCGATGTTTGCAGGAGATCGCCAACCCAATAGGTGCATCACGCTGAGCTCCGACGAGTGGCTGCCCAGGCTCTGCTGCAAGGTTCCGGGGCTCCTGCTCTTCTCCACGATGGGCGTCTGCCTGGTGACCTCGGCCGTGTGCCCGAGGGCGCTCTACGCGCTCGCGGGGATCCTCACGGCCGTCACCGTCACCTGGGCCTGCTACATGGGGGTCTCCTGCCTGTACGGCATCTCCAGGATGCGCGGCGACTGCGCAAAGGACTGGCACTCCATGCTGGAGGAGCACCAGGCAGCCAACCCTACCGACTCAGACGCCCTGCACTTCGTCATCCTGCCGAACTACAAGGAGGACGAAGACATGATGTGGCGCACGCTAGAGAATGTCGCGCGCTCCGGCCTGGCGAGGTCCTCGGTGCGGGTGGTCCTTGCCATGGAGGCCCGCGAGGCTGGGGCCGAGGCCAAGGCCGAGCGCCTCATGGAGCGCGCCCGGCCATACTTCTTGGACGTCTGCGCTTCGTTCCACCCAGCAGGCCTGAAAGGCGAGCTGGCCGGCAAGTCGCCAAACACCCAGTGGGCCTACCGGCACCTCCTGCAGGTCTACGACGCGGACCTGTCGCAGCGGGATCCGTCGCGCGTTTTCCTGACCGTGGCCGACGCGGACACCCTGTTCCACCCGCAGTACCTGAGCGCCATGACCCTGCAGGCCCTGCAGGCGTCTGCGCAGGAGCGGTCCTGGTCGTTCTGGCAGCCTCCAGTGCTGCTCCTGCGCAACCTGCCCTCGGTGCCGGGCCCGACGCGCTGCTCGAGCTACGCCACGAGCCTCTTCGAGCTGTCGGGCCTGTCAGACCAGTCGCTGTTCCCTGCCTTTTGCTTCTCTTCCTACTCCACGACGCTGGCACTGGCCTCGCATCCACAAGTCGACGGCTGGGACACGGACGTCATCGCGGAGGACCACCACATGTTCTGCAAGTCCTTCTTCGCGCCTCTTTGGGAGGCCCGCGCCAAGTCCACGTGGCGCGACCCCTGCGAGCTGAAGCCGCGGGTGAAGGTGCAGCCTGTCTTCTTGCCGGCGCTCTCGTACCTCGTAGATTCTGGTGAGAGCAACAGCGTGGCAAGCTGGTTCAGCTCCTGCCGCGCCAGGTTCACGCAGGCTCGCCGCCACTCGCAGGGCGTGGCGGAGCTCTCGTACGTCCTCCTGCAGTACGGGCGCCTGGTGGCGGCCGCTGGCGTTTGGCAGCTGCCGCTGCGCACCCACGCGCAGATCCTGGCCATCGCGGCCAAGATGTCGGTGGTGCACATTGTCAACGCCGCGCACGGCTTCTCCGTCGTGGTGTGCACCGCGATCGCTGCCGTCGAGACGCTCCGCTGGATCATGACCGGCGGGCTCTTCGTGCTCTTCGGCGACATCGCTGCCCAGGGGGTCCTCGGGCGGGGGAGAGGCTTGAGCGGTGGGCTCGCGGACCCGCAGGGAGAGGTATAGGGGCGGGGGATGGGCCCTCTGAGAAAGCGGGGGGGGGGCGCCCGGGAAGCCCTGCGAGGCTTCCGAGAGAGCAGCTCGGAAGGCGGGTGGGCGGAGCGGGAGGGTCGGGAGGAGGGCGACGACGACGCCACGGAGGCCGAGGATGAGCGAGGAGGAGCCCCCAGGGAGAGGCGGGCGCAGACTGGATATGGGCGGAGGCGGAAGAGGACGAGACGGCGGCGGCCGGCCGAAAGACCGGTGGCAGGAGTAGGAGGCGGAGCAGGCGGGGACACGAGGGAGCGGGGAGAACGGTGGGAAGAGGGCCAGGCAAGACGTCGGCGGCATTCCTCGTTCCTCCCCATTCCCTGCAGGGTCCATTTCGATCCCATCGGTCCGATTCGATATCGATTCTGGTCAGCCCGATCCGATCCGAGTGCGAGGTTCGGGCGATCCGAGTGCGGTGCGATGCCTGCACGGCACGGCGCTGCTGCGCATCCTGGCGCGGCCGATCCGATCCGAGTTCGACTCATACAGGTGCGGTCCGATCCGACGCACCTGCCGATCCGATGGGAGCTTCGGAGTCGGTGTTGGTGGTGATTGTCCTCTTGCGCATGGGTGCCCCGCCCAGTGGCACCCCATCGCACGGATGAAGCGCAGCTTGTTTTTTTTTTGGGGGGGGGGGGCAGAAGGGGGCTCTCCCGCTCTCTGGCCCCGCGCACACCAGCTCTCTCGTGTAAGAAAAAAGCTGCGCAGCAGTTAGAACGAGGGAGGGCGGTTCCCTCTTTAAAAGCATGGGGCTCTCGCCTCGTCGCAGTGCACACTCGAGGTTGCACGGGTCGAGGCGGTTTATCTTTGAACGTGGGGCTCTCGTGCTGGTGCCGCGCACATTCGTGTCACCATCTTGCAGCAGTTCAAGGGATTGCAGGATCTCGCCTTGTTGCCTCGCGCCTTCGTTTCAACATTCTACATCAGCTACAGGGATGGAGAGCTGCTCCTGTTCCAATGGAGCTTCCGCCTTAGCGCCGCGCACATTCGCTTCTACAGGGGTTGTATTTTGCGAGGCTCCGAACAAGGGACATCAGTTCTTGCTTGCAGCTGGGACATGCCATGAGGACGAGGTGACTCCGCGAGGATACTCTTTGGTTCTTGCCCGTTCGGCCCGCCCATGGCCAATTGCGCTTGCCACTCCTCTGAGGTTGCCCCTGGAACTTGAGCGCTCAGCTCAAGCCGAGGGCCTCTCATCCATGCCTTGCTTTCCGATGATGTGCCGCGACTGTAATCCGTAAGCTCTTGCAGTACGTATGCCGAACGCTGTGGGAGGATGAGGGGTGGGGTCATGATTGCGACGAGGAGGAGTCACGACTCGTGCTGCCCGAAGCCCTCGAGGTCTGCGCCACGCTGATGTCCCAGTCGCTTGGGCAGATGGGCTGCGGGCGTCAGAAGTCCCCTCCCTCTCGGCTCCCGTCGGCCGCACGCACGTCAGGGCTGGACCTAGACGTTGTGTTGCTGGACTTCGGCTGTGTTTCGTTGTTCGTTTTTGGGAGGGATGTACAGGAAAACAGGCAGAGCAAAACGAGAAACAAACCGAGAACAAGCACGAAGAGCAACGTTTGGGTCCAGCCCTGCTCCGGAGCGCTTCGTTTGGCGCTCTGGAGACGGCCGCGGCGTCCGATGCATCCTCCAGGACCGTCGGATCCCGGAGATCCCGGAGGCGTCCCGGTTTGGTCTTGTCTGATGTTCCAGTCTGTCGGGAGCGGCCAAGAGGGGGTGATGACTAGGGGGGGGGGATATCTTGGCTGGGGCCATGAGATTTCCCCAGATTTCATGGCGCCTCTTCTTATTTCAATGCGTTCCCGCCCCCCTCCCCCTGGGCCGCGCACATGCCGCCTGCCATGATTTGCGCCCCCCCCCTCTTGGGCGCCTCCCTGCTGACGCCCCCGATATAGTGTACCAATCTAGTTCAGCCTTGATCATCAAAACAAACAAATCGATCACCAAGAAATTGCCGAAACTTGGGGGGGCTTTCACGTGTCGGGCCCTGGGAGGCGATACTCGTTCGAAACTGTTTCGATGCTTTTCTGGGTGCTCGATTGTTTACGCTTCGCGAGTCCCCGCCAGCCCATTCAGAAGTCCTGCCCACGAGAGCTGACGGGAAACGGAAAGCAGACGCGTATAGTGAAACAGAGCGGTCAAAGAGAGGAGGGGGAGGAAGGTGTTGAGCCATCTCGGAGGCTATCTTGGAGCATCGGAGGCCTTCTCGGAGCTATGGGGCTGTATATGGGGATACTTGGCTCCTCGTTGAGCTCTTTTGGGGCATCTTGGGACCCTCTTAGGGCTCTTTGGGGGTCTTGGGGTCCTCTTGGGGCTCTTTGGGGGCGCCTTGGTTGGGGCCCTCATGAGGCCCGACTCATGGGGCCCTCTTGGAGCTCTCTTGGGGCTCTCTTGGGGGCCTCTTAGGAGCCCTGGAGGGCCTCTTGGGGCTGTCGTGGAGGGTGTCGGTGAAAAGAGGGGGGTCCTAACGTTTGACCACCCCTCCGGGGCTATCAACATAGCTTCTTTGGACGCTCTTGGGCCTCTTTTGGGGCGCTATTGGGCGGTCTTGGGGCCGTCTTGGGGGCATCTTGGGCCCCTCTTGGAGCTCTCTTGGGCCATCTTAGGCCACCTTGACGCCTCAAACACGCATCGGAAGCGAGAAACCGATAAGGCAAACACGAATGTTTTTCCTCAGATGTTTAAAGGGTTTTACAGTGCACCGCTGACGAGCAGGCTCCAAGGGCAAAGAGTTTGCCTGGGACTGGAGGCCAGGGCAGAAAATTTACATATCAGGCCACGCACTGAGCTTCCTGGACGGCGGCAGACCTTTACACAGCCGCTGCAAGACAACGAGGCGAGCCTGCGTGAAGGCATGAGGACCGAACTCGTCCACTTGGCACCGTTCCTTCAAGGAAACGGGCCTCGAGGTGGCCCAGGCCCCACACGCTCCACAAAAATAAATCGAGGCCTTGCACCAGAGCGCATGGGACTGATGGACAGGCTTCCCTGCGACCCAGGACTCGACCCTGGACGGCATGGGATCGAGCCCCAAGGATCTCCAGAGGGCGTCACACCGCTCGGGCAAGGGCCTGGCGGGCTTCACCAATTGGTGATGCACAACTTGCTTCTCCTCCTCCCCCCGCACACACGCAACACACACAGACACACTCCCTCCTTCCTCCTCGAGAGAGGCAGGGCACAGGCTGCGCAGCCTGGAACGGATGGAAGGGGCGCCGTCCCTAACCTCCACGGCACAGGATCCGCACCTCCACACCTGATCGGCATACGTCCACCTATGGGAGGCTAACAAAACTGCCTCGGCGAGCCACCGCCGCCGCAGAACAACATAGTCGATGGGTTCCTTGGTCCGTCGCCTGTCGGGGTCGGCACGAAGACAGGCACACTCGAGAATGATAGCAGCATGACGTGTCAATACTTGGCAAGCCTGAAGCACAAGCGAATTATGGTCACGGACAACATCTGGAGGGACCTGCATCTCCGACGCACGATCATCAGGCAATTTGTCAGCCAGAGAATTCAAAACAACGTGGTCCCAATCCTCAGATGTTTAAAGGGTTTTGGCTTCTCGGGGATGTCCTGAGGGGTCTCCAAAAGCACTTGGATCCGTCTTGTGGCCTGCTTGGGGCATCTTGGAGGCGTGTTTTTAGCTATCTTGACCCATGTTGGGCTATCTTGAGCGATCTTGGAGGCCATCTTGGGCTCTCTGAGGTCCTCTTGGAGCCATCTTTGGCCATCTTGGACGCCCTGACCGCTCGCGGTCCCCCCCGTCCAAGCCCAGGGGAGGGGGTACGGGGAGGGGTAATCCCTCCCCGAAGGGGAAGGGGGGGTCTTTTGGAAGGGGAAAGACGGATCTCGTTAGACCGCCTGTCGTCCAGAGGGCTGACGGAATTCCGAGATTTGGTCTATAAGTGCGATGGGGATATCAAAATGTACCGATACTGCTACTCCCCAGACCTCTCCTTAAGTCGGGCCTGTCCCCCTACAGGGGGATTTTCGACGAAAGATAAAAAAGTACCCCAACAATAATCCAAAAATAGTCTGGGGACTATGTTTGGTGTATTTGTTTACCTTTTGGGGACATGTTTGGGGTATGTTTTATTTTTCGTCGAAAATCCCCCTGTAGGGGGACACGCCCGACTTCAATCTTGTCCCCGTCTTGGCCTCGCCGTAGAAGGGGACACCTCCGGGGGCTGCTGCAAGGGCGTCTCTGGCCCAGGGCGTCCCCAGCGCTGTTCTCCCTCCAGGGGCCCTCGTTGGGCCTCGTGAGAGCTGCTCTGGGAGCGCCTGGGGCTCAGATGATCTTAAACACGCTGGGGCCTTTTTACTCAATCGCCTCGCTCCTTCCGCCGGCCCTTCTTGCCCTGCCGCTTGGGGGCCGTGTTGGGGCCTCTTGGGGGCCTCTGGTAGGCAGTTTCGAACCTTCTTGGGGGCCTTGTTGGGGCCTCTTGGGGCCTCTTGGGGGCCTCTTGGGGCTTTCTGGGGTGCTTCTTGGGGGCCCCTTGGGCCTTTGGGGGGCCTCTTGGGGCCTCCTGGGGGCATCTTGGGGCTGAAGGCTGGACTTCTCGGTTCCTGGTCCCCGTCTTGGGCCTCTCTTGGGGCCGTTTTAGGGCCCTCTTGGGCCATCTTGGGCGCCTTTTGGGCTGTCTTGGGGCCATCTTGGGCTGTCTTGGGGCTCTCTTGGAGGCGTCTTGGGCCGTGTTGGGGCGGTCTTGGGGGCATCTTGGGCCGTCTTGGAGCGTTGGGAAGCCGAAAAGACGAGAAACGTCGCACATGCGAGAAACGTATGTTTTTCGACGGGAATGGGGTGATGTTTGCTTGTTGGGGCCCTCGAGAAGAGTCTCTTGAGGCTCTCTTAAGGCCTCTTGAAGCGTCTTAACGGCCTCTTGGGCAGTCGTGGGGCCATCTTGGGCATCGCCGGCCGATCTTTCGAGGACTCTAAAGGCTCTTGGACCGTCTGGGCGCTCTCTCGAGGCCGTCTTGGGCGCATCTTGGGCCGTCTGCGGGGCCTCCGGCATCTCTGACGGGCACTTGCCGGGGACTTGCCGTGACTTTGGCGGGGTCGCGTCGGGGCCCCAAGGGGCCGCCTCGCGCGCGCGAACTTGTTATATTGTTAATTTGTTACCGGAGATCTTAGCACGCCTCTGGCCCGTTGGGCCAGCGAATTCCGTTTTCAAGATCGACGTTTTGTTTTTTGTTGTTGTTCAGTTTTGGGTACCGTTTTTGTGACGTTTTCAGGTCCAGGATCGGCTCGTGGCCCTACTTGCTTGTGTATTTCTTTTTCTCTTGCGCTTTCAGCGCGTTTTTCGGCATCACAATGACGACTGACTGACATCCACATTCTGGATGTCGTTTTTAACAAGTTTTGGTCGAGTGACAAGCTCAAGGTGGAAAACGAACAAGAAAACGCCCCCTGCGTTTTTGAGAACAGTTGAATCCTGGGGGCACCTTCCCTGAGATCCAACGTTGCAACACACTGCGACATCGCAGGAACAAAAAACAAAGACCAGCGCTCCAACTACGCCCCACCTTTCTGCCGCAGTTCTGCTGCGAGCCGGTGCGACCCGTGATGGTCCCGGGGCCCGAAGCCGGGCGGGCACGCACGGTGTGGAGAAGATTGCAGCACCCGGATCTCAAGGCTGGGCCAGAGACACCTCCTCCTCCTTCTCCTCCTCCTCCTCCTCCTCTCCCTCCTCCTCCTCCTCCTCCTCCTCCTCCACCTCCTCCTCCGGCACCTGATGCATACTGTAATCCATGCGTGGCACGAGCAGCGGTGTTGGGCCTTGGCCGATCCAGGCGGACGCGGGCCTCTGGCACCCTGTGCCAGGACCGCGGGATCAGAGAGAGTCTCGAGTTGAGTCTGTCCTAGTTCTGGCGTCCTCGTAGGAGGGGGGTGCATGATCGATGCCTGGCACGAGAAGCCTTTTGTTGTTGTTGTTGCTGTTGTTGTTGGTGGTGGTGGCGTGTGTGTGTGTGTGTGCGTGGGCGTGCGTGTGTGTGTGTGTGTGTGTGCGTGTGCGTGTGTGTGTGTGCGTGTGTGCGTGTGTGTGTGTGTGTGCGTGTGTGTGTGTGTGCGTGTGTGTGTGTGCGTGTGTGTGTGTGTGTGTGTGTGCGTGCGTGTGTGTGTGTGTGCGTGTGTGTGTGTGTGTGTGTGTGCGTGCGTGTGTGTGTGTGTGTGTGTGTGTGTTTGTGTGTGTGTGTGTGCGCGCGCGACTTCCGCGCGTAAGCCTCCCGCGTCAGGCCAGGCGTCGGCGCCGCCTCCTCCAAGCGGTGTGCCGCACTGGCTGCCCGCGCAAGCCGCGGCGTATTGTCGCTTTGTTCTTTTGCGTGAGACCCGTTCCTTTCCGTCGCTCGTGTGCGGAGCCCCGGCCGCTC